TTTGGGAAGGCATAGTTAAGTGAAGTTCAACATAAACGTAAGGTCTACTCAAATCAATGTGGAAAAATTCGACTACCAGTCTACTAATCATCTCAAACGAAATAGGGTGAATGCATCGTCTGTATGATGGGAGAAGTTACATCATCACTTTTTAATCACCGTAGACCTAGGCCAACCAAATACCACATAACACAGTAGCCTATTGAATCTGACAATCAGCACACAGATTTTTACCAGCAGGAAACGTATGAAAAATGGCTTTCTTCAAAGGCCTGCTTATCTTGTAACAGAATTGAGATATGGAACAATGCGGTTTCCTGTTTACCCAAACCTCCACAGTTCGAGTCCTGTCGGGGGTGTTGATGGGATTATGAAAAATGGTCGGAATCGAAAATACAGTCTAAAGATGAAAATTGTCTTTTGTGATGCAGAAAGATGTGAATTTCAATGCAAAAACAGGCCTCCTCTTGGATTTTTCATAACTAGAATCAAAACCAGTCCCTAGAGCATCATACGAAAAATGGTGCGTCTTGTCAACAGCCATATTCCTGATAGCCGTGACCAAATGATAACGAATAATACTTTTGACAATGGTTGTTTAAGGTGAAATTTCTATCGTCCGGCCTGTAGACGACTGGCTTAAGCGGCATTGACGAGCGTTCGAGTGATTATAGTCAATGCAAACTGTATCCTCCAGGTCAAGTGATGAGGTTAACAAGAGCTATTCCAGTTCCCAACGGTAAATATAGGTTCCGCAATTCTCATAAACCCCTGGAGACCAATGTCTGGGCTCGAGCCGTGAAGTGGCATAGCCTGACGCAGACAATGAGTTCAAGGGATCACAGAATGCCTTAACCTCGGCGACCAAGTGGGCGGAGAGAGAGATAGGCAGGCGGGAAGAAGAGAATTTCGTCTTTTCGACAAAATAGCGATTTGACGCTGCGACCACACGCGAGCCAAGCCTTTTGTAGTCTTCTTTTCTGAGGCAGAATGAGAAGAGGGCTTCACTCCAGACAACGTCTTCCCTGCGCCTTTCAGCCGTCAACCCTTTGGCAGAGGCAGAACATGCAGTCTTTGGCACAGGATGCAGGAAAGGATGGTGTGCATCAGTCGTCGCTAAGCCTGTAAATATGCCAATTAAGATTGACTCTTGAGCTGAACACCGACCCAATAGACTCATGATGAAAGTGTAGGAACACACCTCGGCATCGCGTGAATCGGCTAAAGCGGCCGGCGGCGAGTATTCTGTCGCCCAAGACCTTCCGCCCTCCACCCTCGCAGTGACGGGTTGTACACAACGAAAAGATGCACTACATCGACTCGAGCCAACTGGCATGGATGCTGTACCCTTCACGAAGACCCAGACACGAGGATTGAGCCGAAGTGGTTTCGAGTGGATGGAGACATCGCGCGCCAACAACAGTCGCCTCGTCGTGTCGGCAGGTGTAGGCCTGCGGCAAACACAGAAACCGAATGAGACCAAGTCCACTCCAACCACATCGTCGACAGAGTACACACAAAGTGAACACATCTCCGTCAACGGTGATGCTGGACTGAAACGTGTGGCCACTTGAAACGCACCGCACACACACACACACACACACACCGCCATTCGGTTAGACCCAAGGCCATTACCGACGTGAAATACAGCACGACAAGAGACAACTGAGAGGCCAACCTTACGCTCAATTGTGTCGACTCGACCTGGTCTCCCCAACTCGGTCGGAGCAGCGGGGAGATCTTGTGGAAGGTGCCTAGTATTCGCGATCTCCAGCATCGAACCATCAACTTGGTACATTCCCAAAACGTTTCGCTGGCATCACCAGCACATAGTTACAGCTCGCCACTTTGATGGGTTGTAACTGGGTGTTGACGATGCCAGCGAAACGTTTTGGGAATGTACCAAGTTAATGGTTCGATGCTGGAAATCACGAATACGATGGCAGACGACGCAGGACCAGGCACCTTCCACAATGTCTGCCTGTCGTTAGGCGCGAGTTGCGAAAACGAGGTCAAACCGACAATATACTCCGACCAAACAGACGGCCACATCAACTCGGTCGTCATATCTACGATTTACGCCTAATTGCCGTGGTGGCGGCGAAGCATCTTCGCTCTGGCTGAGGTCCGCCGCCCACTCACCGGGACTGCCTCTGCCTGCCAACCGGTTGGTCTCGGAAATGGTGGATGCAAAGGCTTCAAAGGCCTACATTTTCCCCACCCACAATCCT